CACAGCTTCACCGTGTTTACTGCTGAACTGTGCTCGGTGTGTGGCAGCATGGGACAGGGCTTTTTTATGTGATTCTGCAGATCGCTGGACTGAGTGAAGCTCCTCCCGCAGGCGGTGCAGAGGTAGGGTCTCTCTCCGGTGTGAGCTCCCGGGTGAGTGAAGCTCCTCCCGCAGGCGGTGCAGAGGTAGGGTCTCTCTCCGGTGTGAGCTCCCGAGTGAGTGAAGCTCCTCCCACACGCGGTGCAGAGGTAGGGTCTCTCTCCAGTGAGTGAAGCTCCTCCCGCATGCGATGCAGAGGTAGGGTCTCTCTCTGGTGTGCGCTCCCGAGTGAGTGAAGCTCCTCCCACACGCGGTGCAGAGGTAGGGTCTCTCTCTGGTGTGCGCTCCCGAGTGAGTGAAGCTCCTCCCACACGCGGTGCAGAGGTAGGGTCTCTCTCTGGTGTGCGCTCCCGAGTGAGTGAAGCTCCTCCCGCAGGCGGTGCAGAGGTAGGGTCTCTCTCCGGTGTGAGCTCCCGGGTGAGTGAAGCTCCTCCCACAGGCGGTGCAGAGGTAGGGTCTCTCTCCGGTGAGTGAAGCTCCTCCCGCATGCGGTGCAGAGGTAGGGTCTCTCTCCGGTGTGGATCTTCTGCTGCTGCTTCAGAGCGCTGGATCTGGTGAAGGTGTCTCCGCACTCGAAGCACATGTACGGCTTCTCGTCAGTGTGGATCTTCAGGTTGGACGCCAGAATGAAGCTCTTCCCTCACTGCTGGCATCTGAAGGCTCGTTCTCCCGAGTGCGAGAGCGCTGGTGGTCTTTGAGGTTGGTGGTGCACTTGAAGCTCTTCCCGCACTGATCGCAAGCGTACGGACGCTCGCCGGTGTGGATGTGAATGTGGCGTTTCAGGTGTCCTCTACAGGTGAAGCTCTTCTGACAGTGAGGGCAGCTGAAGGACTCGACTCCAGAGTGGATCTTCACGTGTTCATTGAAGTGTCCTTTATGTGTGAAACTCTTCCCGCACTCGGGGCAGACGAACGCATTACCGGCTTCTTGCGAGGGTTTCTGTTCTTTCAGCTCTAAAATAAACACAGTCAAACAGCTGTTATACAAATGCTGTCTTTCTTCATATTACTTAATGTTATTTTAGGACTGTGCCAAAGGCTAAGGTGGAAGTTAAGCCGCTATCATACATGACAACTAGTAGAAGCAAGTATCTGTGTACAAATATAAAGAATATACAAAACAAAAACTCATTTTGAGAAAATTTAAAAAAAAATACATTTCACTTCTGTGTTATATTTTGAAGAGATGATAATTCTAAAGACATTGTATGGGTCACAATTATACATTTCTCTTTTATGCCAAAAATCATTAGGATATTAAGTAAAGATCATGTTCCTTGAAGATATTTTGTAAATCTCCTACCGTAAATATATCAAAACTTAATGTTTGATTAGTAATATGCATTGCTAAGAACTTCATTTGAACAACTTTAAAGATGATTTTCTCAATATTTAGATTTTGCACACAGATGTAGACTGATGTCCATGCTTTCTAAAAGTGTTATTCATCTCGGATTAGACAAAGGCAGGGAATATTAGACTCAGAGATGAGCAGCAGGCAGTGAAGCACCCCTCTCCAGTCTTCTGTTAGCACGGCTTTCTAAACTAACTCTGCATGAACTTGACACTCGTTAATGAAGAACCATTAATCATCACCAACCTCTCAGCTTCTCAACAAACTCCGTCTCTACAGGAATGTCTCTCAGATGTGTATTCTGCAGGGTCTCCTGCTTGTTTGGGAAACACACGTTGCGTTGCCACTCTTCTTCTTTATCATTTACAGCAGTTTGCAAACCAACACCGGTGCATTTCTGCCACCTACCGGAGGGAGTGAGAAGAAAGAAAAACAGTATACTGACGCAGTAGCCCCTGCTCTTGTGACGCTGGTAGATCAACATATTATTGGAAGCATTTAAAAGTTTAAATATATGCCAGCAAACACATTTGTTTAATTATTATTTGATGAAGACTTTTATTTTGCTTCTGGGCGCGGCGTGTGACGTCATGCGCTCGGACTGCAGCTGAAGGGAGGTTTGTGGTGTATGAATAGTTACAAAACATTCTAAAGTAGTTTCCTGTAATTCGCAGATGTGCTTCAGATGCATTGCAATATTACTGAAAGCCTTCAGCGTAACGTATATGCATATATTATCTTACTGTATATATATATATAATCATCATCGCCATAGTAATGCTGTTAGTCTCGCAATGAGCGCTTCCAGGCTTCAGGAACGGGGTTATTTCGCATCGCTGCTTCTTCATAACGTTCAGATATTCTCATAATCTCAGCCCTGTCACAGTCTGGCGTCCAAACAGCCAGGTTTAGCAGCTGAGATCTGCATGACACTATTGTGAAGATGGAGTTTGTTAAAGAGGAGAGTGATGAAGAAACATGCGGAGAGGAAGAGGAGGAATATAAGCAGAGAGGTCTGTGATCATCTTTTATTCTACAACAATGACTGCTGACAGTGAGCACATTCTCACACACTTAGACCTTAGAAACCACCGGAGCTGTGAAATTAAACAGTACGAATGATATACAGACTCTCAGCTAACAGAACATTGTTTTCAAAGTGTTCCGGCAAGCTTCTCTAAATGTTACGAGCAAGCATTCTTCCAGTAACACTAATAGAATGTTCGTTCAAAGTTCTCTTTCATCTCCTCATGTTCGAGATACACCAGTATCAAGAGCGTCTGCGCCTGACCCAAGTCTGGCGCTACCTGAGCGCTACCTTTCCTCAGTCGACTTCTCACAACCTCTGGAATTACTCGCAGCTCGTTGGTTGACTCTCACTATTGCCCATCTCTTTTGCATGGTTTGCATGGGTCTTAAACACACTCAAGAAGCCACTGATTTCCCGGAGAACTGTAGCCGTTGCTTGGCGCTCCCGAAGAAGCTCCTGCGTCGGAGGCTTAAGGTGGCCACCATCTCTCTGGCGTATGAATCTAAGGGAGTGCAGCCTGCAGAGGGCCTAAAAGCTCATTCCACTAGAGGCATGGCGGCCCCCTGGGCTGTGTTTAAAGGGTATCCTTGCAGGACATTTGTCAGATACTATCGGCTTGATGTTACCCACAGCCCGGTAGCTCACTTTGTCTTAGGCGTGGGCTTATCGTAGCCTTGTGCCTTTAGGCCTGCTACACCTTTAAAGCTTGGGTTGGCCAGCCTGGCTTATTCATGTCATTAAGCAGGTCATTTGTACCCTCCCCTGACACCATGTTATACATTCATATATATGTATGTATATGGCATTGTATATATATGTGACCCTAGACCACAAAACCAGTCATAAGGGTCCATTTTTAATTTTTTTTATTGAGATTTATACATCATCTGAAAGCTGAATAAATAAGCTTTGCATTGGTGTATGGTATTTGAAAAACTGGAATCTGAGGGTGCAAAAAAATCTAAATATCGATAAAATCATCTTTAAAGTTGTTCAAATGAAGTTCTTAGCAATGCATATTACTAATCAAACATTAAGTTTTGATATATTTACAGTAGGAGATTTACAAAATATCTTCATGGAACATGATCTTTACTTAATATCCTAATGATTTTTGGCATAAAAGAGAAATGTATAATTGTGAGCCATACAATGTATTGTTGGCTATTGCTACAAATATCCCCCAGCGACTTAACACTGCTTTTGTGCTCCAGGGACACATATCATTATATATGCTTCCAGCATATGTGTGTTGTCAGGTTTTGTATGCATGTTACCACGTCATGCTTTTATGTCTAGTATTGCAAGCTCACTTTGAGAGGGGTCTGTTACTTTGTGACGTATCAAGCACCGCCTTCCAGGTGACGTCCTCTGGCTTACAGGGCCTCGCTGTGAGTGTATTGTGCAACCGGGGAGCTGTCCATCTCTCTCATAAGTGGATCTCGAACATGAGATGATGAAAGAGAACAATAGGTTACTGTTCCTAACCCCGGTTCTCTGAATCATCGAGTGGAGAGATCCTCGAAGTTTGCCCCGCTTGCTGCACGAGAAGTGAATATGCTCACTGAGGAAAGGTGTGGTCCCTTACCTGACATTGGGCACGTGCTCCTGTCTGTCAAGCCAGACTGCTTCTGCGGAAGTCAGGCCACGGATGGCCTTCCCATTGGTGGACCTCTCCACTCGATGTTTCAGAGAACCGGGGTTACGAACATTGTTACCTGGTTTTTAATCATGTTTAAATGTGTTAGCACAAAAGCGTTTTTATACACTGTTTGTGGAACTTTTTCTGAAACGTTTAAGTCGGATGTTCATCTGATGTTTTTTAAATGTTACTACTTGTTTCAGAACATCAAGAGAATGTTAAAATGTAACGTTCCCATAATGCGACAATTCATCCAAAAATGTAAATTCTGTCATCATTTATACTCCCACACGTCATTCCAAACTTGAATGAATTTCTTTCAGCTGTTGAAAACGAAGAAATTTTGAAGAATGTTCCTAACTTAACAGTTGATGGTAGTCACTGAGTTACATAGTAGTTTTTTCCATACCATGGATTAATCAATGACCACCGCCAACTGTTTGGTTATCAACATTCTTCAAAATATCTTCTTCTGTGTTCTGCAGAGGAAAGAAACTCACACAAGTTCTGAACAAGTGGACGGTGAGTAAATGATGGCAGTCTTTTCATTTTTGTGTGAACTATCCCTTTAACATTTGTAAAATGTTTTTTTTTTAACTTTTAGAACTAGATGTTTTGAACATTCAGAAAGCATTCATGAATAACGTTTTCATAACTCAATGGGAGCATTCTTAGAACGTAATTTTTGTTAGCTGGGATGCATCTAAATGATAATAACCAACTATAGCAGCTATATATACACCAGATCAGATGGCATTCTTACATTACATTTCACTTGGTCATTCTTGAATTGATCTGGACAATTTAACATGTTTCAGGCCTGATAGAAGTGAAAGAGGAACGTCAAGAACTGAATGAAGTGGAGCAGAAAGATCAGCATGAGGAACCTCATCAGTTCATAAATGCAAAACAGTCTTGTAGTCGTTCACAGAACGATAATAATCAATCGCAAGAAACATCAGCCAAAAACCTGTTCTCCTGCTCTCAGTGTGGAAAGAGTTTCACTCGTAAAGGACACCTGAAGATCCACACGATCATCCACACAGGTGAGAGACCATACACCTGTCCTCAGTGCGCCAAGAGCTTCACCTGCAAAGGAAGCCTTAAGGATCACTTCAAGATCCACTCCGGAGAGAGACCTTTCACCTGTCCTCAGTGCGGATGTAGTTTTGCACGACAAGAAGACCTTAAGAGGCACATAAGGATTCACACCGGAGAGAAACCGTTTCCGTGCTCTCAGTGCGGAAAGAGCTTCACCAGTTCTGGAGATCTGAAGAGACACGTAAGAATCCACTCCGGAGAGAAGCCTTTCACCTGCTCTCAGTGCGGAAAGAGCTTCACGCAGAAGGAAGGTCTGAAGGAACACATGAAAATCCACTCCGGAGAGAAGCTTTTCACGTGCATGCTGTGCGGGAAGAGCTTCACACATCAGCGGAGCTTGAAAAGACACATGAAGGTCCACTCAGGAGAGAAGTTACACCAGTGTCCTGAATGCGGCAGGAGGTTTTCAGAGGCCTGCAATCTCAAAACTCACCTGCTGTCTCACACCGGAGAAAGACCCTTTCACTGTCAGCGCTGCGATAAGAAGTTTTTCCTGGCCGTGCACTTGAAGACGCACATGAGGATTCACGAAGACGAGCGGCGGTACGTGTGTTCGTTCTGCGGGAAGAGCTTTCTGTGGCTTAATGGGTTTAAAGACCACCAGAAAACTCATATCGGCGAGAAACCCTTCGTGTGTTTGGACTGTGGAAGCACTTTCACTAGAGCCGGTGAACTGAAAGTGCATGAACGGATCCACACCGGAGAAAAACCCTACAAGTGCTCACACTGTGAGAAGAGCTTCACTCAATCAGGAGCGCTAAAAATTCACGAGAGAGTTCACACCGGAGAGAAACCATACCTCTGTCCCTCCTGCGGGAAGACTTTCAGCCGATACGGAAATCTCGGGAAGCATTTGAAAAAGGCTTGTCCGAAGCTGAGACAGTGAGGAGCAGTGTTGGGGGTAACGCATTACAAGATTACTTTTTTCAAGTAACTAGTAAAGTAATGCATTACTTTTTAATTGACAAGAGAATATCTGAGTTACTTTTTCAAATAAGTAAACCAGTTACTTTGATTTCCCATTTATTCACTAACAACTCTCCTGTCCCCATGTTGAGAAAAAGTGGGAGTAAGCACAAAACTAAATGTTTAGTTCTAGACTAAATGTGAGCATGCTTTTGTGCACTTGCACAAAAAACAGATTCAGTGTTCCTCCAGATGAATAAAGAACAGTGAAATGCAAGCTCAGAATGTGACACAAATCTTCAATAATTAAGTGGTAAATAACACAATATCCTTTATGTATTATTGCTGAAGAGTGAACTTCCTTCTCCTGCGTTCTGCTGTACAGATGTGAAGTTACTTTTCCTTCAGCCTGAGGCTTATTCATTTCACTTTTTGGTGTGAAAGGGCTTTTACATTTACCAAAAATAGAACTTTTTATATTAAATACAAGCAAGCAAGCCCTGCCCGGATTTGAAAAGTAACGCAAAAGTAACGTAACACATTACTAAGTAACTAACGTAACGGAATTAGTTTTTAGGGAGTAACGCAATATTGTAATGCATTACTTTTGAAAGTAACTTTCCCCAGCACTGGTGAGGAGAGTCACCTTGAAGAGTGTGTCCTCCAAAAGAGCATGTTTGGAAACTTAAAGGAATATTAAGGAAGGACAACGTATGTGGGATTCTGTGAATGCTACAAACATTTGTAGGGATGCTCTTGTATTATATTCAGAAAAATGTCCTTTTTTTGCACGTGGTAGCATTCGTCAAACAATGCCAATATGTGTCTTTACTTATTTGATCTTACATCTTAAAAATTTAATTTTGTGCATCGTAGTTCTTCAGATCCATGGGGAACTGAAAAGACTTTCAATGAGATCTTTAAAACAAACACTAGACCAGTCCACAGCTGTTATTATGTGTTTGTGGAGGAAATTAGGTGATTTCTATATTCCTACTTTGTTTTTATTTGCAAAAATCGTGAAAAGATTCCAAATGCTTAGAGTATAGTTAGTTAACGAGTGAAAACGTCATGTGAAAGTGTACTTTCAGACACTTAAGAAAGATTCACATCCAGCCAGATTCATCCTTTACTCTATTTTGTGGGAGTTTTGTT